AACGTAGGAAATCAAGGTGTTGCTGCTCCAATTGGTAGAGGAAACAACCAAGCTGATCGTGAGCGTGAGAATGGAAATGTTGAAACACAAAATCGCAACGATTTGGACTCGGATTCAGAAGACGAGGAATATTTTCCAGTGGGTACCCAAATGCCACAGCCAACCAAGACCAAAGAAGAAGACGAACTGTCGGCTACAATTCCATTTCTTTTGCGAGTGAGTATAGCAAAAACTAATTACTATTTTTTAGAATTCATTCTATCTAATTGGAATCATTTGATTGCTTATTCTGCGTAGGAAAACCAGGATCGCTATTATCCAAAATCTGATGTCACAATCCGTGAATCAATTGTTGATACTTTGCTGCTATGGAATCGAATGCCACTTTACAACAACAAGGAAAACGACTTCATGTTCGTCCAGTTTATGCTGATCGATGTATTTGGTGGAGTTCAACTCTCAACTTGTGACCTTTCGGCCCATCAGACAAAGTTGCGATTTGTCAAAGAACTTTTGGCAATTCGTGTGAAGGACGATGTTCTCCGAATGAAAAACTTTGATGCGTATGCAACACGTATTATGCAACAATTCAAGGAAAAATCTGAATTAGATAAATAATTCTACATCTTTTGAACTTCTTTGATGATATTCTTAAAACTTCTGAAATTTCGAGAGTATTTTACTTGAAAATATGTACAAAATAGGTTGTAATGCCTTCATTTAATTGAAAGTAAACACACACACATGCAATGTAAATTTATGCAACAGTAAAGATCTCATCAAATATAGAAGAATTAGCATGACAAAGGATTAGAAATGATTTGTAGTTCTTTATTTATTTTGCTAAAAAAAATTATCACATCGTTTCAAGTAAGACTATGAAGTTTTTGTTTCAGGTAATGAGATAATCAACTTATTTAATTCGAAATAAAATGTAAAATAACACAGAAAGTTTTCTTTGATATCAGTTTTTTTTCTTAAATAATATAAACACCTATTGCATTTGAAAAATTTCTTCGTTCGATTTGATAAACATGATGCATTGTAATGATTCATCGTTGAGTTTGTTTCGCAGCTTGTTGTACACGAAATTTAAAGTTGAAAAATCTCGTTCACAAATCACCTCCGCTGCGGGTATGGCAAACAATACAGCAGCCAACTTAGCCAGTTCTAGTCGAGAAGCAGCATTATTCGTCCAGAATTCAATTATATCAATTCCAGTTGGCGTTCGTTCTGATTGAAAATCAAACTCATTGAGCAATTGTAAAATCTTTTTTTGGTGTGAATTTTTCGCTTGATTGCATTTGGATTGTAACATTTTCTCCAATAGATTCTCATTTTCGTCACGTGTGTTTGAATTGTCGGATTCATTTGAACGACTATCTGTGTCTGGACTTGCATCAAGTTTGGCCAAACGCTTTATTTCCATTCTTTCATGCAGTTTTACCAAATACGATTTGGCGATTTTCTTTTCGTTTTCGTCAAGTGCACACTGGAATCGTGGATCCAAGTACATACAAGCTAATGTTAGTTTTGATTTCAGAACTATAGCAAAGCGATCTTCAATTATTTCGGCAACTTTCGCAGAAAGGTCAACAAAAGGATATTGTTCCAATTCCAGCTTCAATGTCATTATGTGCTTATACACGTCGGAAAGGGTCAGCTTGGCGCTTTCAAAATGTTTCATTGCAATCGTAATGTATCTCAACACATCTCTGATATCCGATATTTGA